CTACCTCATCACGAGAGACTCGGGTCTGTGTCCTCAGTAAGGCTGTGTTACCCTTGTACTAGTGACCTACCTCATCACGAGAGACTCGGGTCTGTGTCCTCAGTAAGGCTGTGATACCCTTGTACTAGTGACCTACCTCATCACGAGAGACTCGGGTCTGTGTCCTCAGTAAGGCTATCTCCTGCTGTAGTTTGTCCATCTGTTCGTCTTTACGTCGGAGTTGATCCCTCAGGTCTCTGGACCGCTCCTCAGCATCTTCTACTGTCCTTCTGTAACAGATAACAGTACTGTAGAGGTGTGTAACAGATAGCACAATAACAGTACTGTAGAGGTGTGTAACAGGTAATATAGTTCCTATATAAACAGTCTACTAGGCCATGTAAAGTGAATGTACAATTAGGTAATAAAGGTTATGAGATGATAATTGAATCGTCTAGTTGATTTGTCTAGGCTGCTAGGCCATGTAAAGTGAATGTACGCTTAGGATATAAAGGGTACGAGATGATAATTGAATCGTCTAGTTGATTTGTCTAGGCTGCTAGGCCATGTAAAGTGAATGTACGCTTAGGATATAAAGGGTACGAGATGATAATTGAATCGTCTAGTTGATTTGTCTAGGCTGCTAGGCCATGTAAAGTGAATGTACACTTAGGTTATAAAGGGTACGAGATGATAATTGATCATCAAGTTGATTTGTCTAGGCTGCTAGGCCATGTAAAGTGAATGTACACTTAGGTTATAAAGGGTACGAGATGATAATTGATCATCAAGTTGATTTGTCTAGGCTGCTAGGCCATGTAAAGTGAATGTACACTTAGGTTATAAAGGGTACGAGATGATAATTGATCATCAAGTTGATTTGTCTAGGCTGCTAGGCCATGTAAAGTGAATGTACAATTAGGTAATAAAGGTTATGAGATGATAATTGAATCGTCTAGTTGATTTGTCTAGGCTGCTAGGCCATGTAAAGTGAATGTACACTTAGGTTATAAAGGGTACGAGATGATAATTGATCATCAAGTTGATTTGTCTAGGCTGCTAGGCCATATACAGATAATACAATAACAGTACTGTAGAGGTGTGTAACAGACAATACAATAACAGTACTGTAGAGGTGTGTAACAGACAATACAATAACAGTACTGTAGAGGTGTGTAACAGACAATACAATAACAGTACTGTAGAGGTGTGTAACAGACAATACAATAACAGTACTGTAGAGGTCTGTAACAGATAATACAATAACAGTACTGTAGAGGTGTGTAACAGACAATACAATAACAGTACTGTAGAGGTGTGTAACAGACAATACAATAACAGTACTGTAGAGGCGTGTAACAGATAATACAATAACAGTACTGTAGAGGTGTGTAACAGACAATACAATAACAGTACTGTAGAGGTGTGTAACAGACAATACAATAACAGTACTGTAGAGGTGTGTAACAGACAATACAATAACAGTACTGTAGAGGTCTGTAACAGATAATACAATAACAGTACTGTAGAGGTGTGTAACAGACAATACAATAACAGTACTGTAGAGGTGTGTAACAGACAATACAATAACAGTACTGTAGAGGCGTGTAACAGATAATACAATAACAGTACTGTAGAGGTGTGTAACAGGTAATATAATTCCTATATAAACAGTCTACTAGGCCATGTAAAGTGAATGTACAATTAGGTAATAAAGGTTATGAGATGATAATTGAATCGTCTAGTTGATTTGTCTAGGCTGCTAGGCCATGTAAAGTGAATGTACACTTAGGTTATAAAGGGTACGAGATGATAATTGAATCGTCTAGTTGATTTGTCTAGGCTGCTAGGCCATGTAAAGTGAATGTACAATAAGGTAATAAAGGGTACGAGATGATAATTGAATCATCTAGTTGATTTGTCTAGGCTGCTAGGCCACGTAAAGTGAATGTACACTTAGGTTATAAAGGGTACGAGATGATAATTGATCATCAAGTTGATTTGTCTAGGCCGCTAGGCCATGTAAAATGAATGTGCACTTAGGTTATAAAGGGTACGAGGTGATAATTGATCATCAAGTTGATTTGTCTAGGCTGCTAGGCCATATAAAGTGAATGTACACTTAGGTAATAAAGGGTACGAGATGACAACTGATTTGACATATCGTTTCACCTATGTTTTAAGCATTTGTTCACTCAAAAACAAATGATATGACAATCAAATAGGCAAAATGATTTGGCCACCCTTACTAAGAACCTAATGATAAATGTTCTTGAAGATTCTACAAAGACACTTCCCTGACTTTCTTACCTGGGTCGAGTTGGGTACACATATTTGGCTGAGGGAACTGGCATAGGTTTTTTATCCATAAATACTAAGTTCCCACGAACACAGAGGACTCACTAGCACCGGGAGGCCAGCAACACATACTGCACAAGTTTTAAATTTGGGCTGAGCAGTGAACATGATATGTTAGTTGTGCGGTTCTGGAAATCTGATAACAGGCTTTTGTTTCAAAATTAAATATCTAGTTACAGGTGATTAGGATGCCTCTAGCAATTATTTTTTTAATTATGAATACAAACTTTATATATGCTGTAATTCACACTAACACCACCCCACATTCCTATATAAGTTATATCAGGAGAGTCGGAGTGTGTGTGGTGGTCAATACGTGGAACTTTTACCACAGTGGTCAGGTCCCACGGACGGAGTAAAGGGAGGGAACTACTTATCAGCGATCTCTGGTCTCACACCATTACCCCTGAAAGCCTCCGTGACATGTACACCCGGCCGGGCTGGTTTAGTCCTTGTTTAGGCATTCTATACATGAGCCAGCTGACAGAATGTATGTCTGTGAACATTTCTGACCGGCTGTACACATGTGGACAAGTCAAGGACCTAACCACCTAATGTACAAACAATACTGCCATTGTGTCATTTCTCTATGCAATAAATACCAAAATAGTATCTCAAGTCTATTGTTAAATATTTATTTGTTTATGTATTAATCAGTAAATAATGTTCAATTATTACAGACTGATAACACTGTGTCCTATATCAACCTAAGGACCTGAAAATACAAACATCACCAGATCTCCAACAGATACTTTATGTCGTCCATATACAACTAAACTATGTCACAAAGTTTGCTGAGTTAGGAGGAATGAGTAAATCACTCCATCAGCTGTGTACAGCGGTGACATCCAGAGACACCACCACAGCGGTGACATCCAGAGACACCACCACAGCGGTGACATCCGGAGACACCACCACAGCGGTGACATCCAGAGACACCACTTCATCATGTTTTTAATGTTTACTTACAGTCTTGCAGCCTCTATATGAGAACCAAAAACTTGATCATGCGAAAGTTCACGAAAGCGGACAGCCTCGGTCTGAAAAAATAGAATAATGCAATTCTTTTATATTTTATTTTACTTATAATATATTTGTTAGTATCAGAAATGTTATATCATACGAGGAGAGTTTTAAGTGAAGCAATTACCATAGATGAAATTGATGAGGGTGAGATATGAGAGTTCTGAAATAGATGATAAAATTAGAGTTTGGAATTAAAATGGCCAAATTCTGTTATACTATAGTTCATGGCTGGGTATAGGGGAGATATGTCATTACACATCAGTCAGTCATAAACTGTAAGAACATGACGTTGTGCTATTGACTTTAGACATGCACTACCTCCGATATCTTTAATTACTTAAATAATTATTAAATTTTCTGAATATTACAGACAAGATTATTGAAAATTAAATCTAGAAATAAAGAAACAGACTAGATAAATCATGTTAATTAAGACTCTTAGAGTATTTATATTTCATGAGTGGGGTCCCAGTACATACCTCCCATCGCCCAGTGTTCCTGGTCGTGCGGATGACAGAGATAAGCTGGTTGACATCGTGATTGAGGTTAGAGTTCTCTTCCCTTAGTGCGCCACTGCTCTCCTCCTGTCTCCCAAGGCGGGTCTGTAGCTCCTGAACGAGACATATAGAGTTAGAATTGGTGTATAGGCCTACGTCAACATGATAATGATGGTGGGGGTGGGGGTGGGGGTACACAGCTCTGATTTTGATTCTGACATATCAAACTTCACAAAGGTTGGTTTTCACCAACATTTTCTTTTTCATGTAGCTATGTCAGTTACGTTTTCACCAACATTTTCTTATTCATGTAGCTATGTCAGTTACCAAGATCTGCATAAGCAAAAACTGTTTTGAACTTTGTTGGCGATAGGCGACCTTCACCTTAAGGCAAGGATACAGAAAAGGTATACATCACACTAGGTGACACTAATGAAACATTTAGTACCCATTCCAATAGTTTGTGTACAAATCCAATAGTTCAGGTACCAGTCTCACTAGCATTAACAGTGGAGAGTAATTACCATGTTAGAGGAATGTAGAGACTGTGTCTCCAGTCTGGAAGTGTACATAGACCTGGCCTGGCCATCAGATGTCATCACACATTGACTCAGAGACTTCGCCTTAGACAGAGACTCCGCCTTCGACCGAGATTGTAACATATCTCCACTTGGTAATGGCTTACACTTATAACCCGACCATGAATTTCTATCTGATGTTGACTTAGATCGATATTCAGACCGAGTCTGTCCATCTGAGTGTGATTTAGAATGACAGTCTGACATGGACTGTCTATCACACATGCTTTTTGATTGAAAATCAGATCGTAATGTTCCATCTGGGTTTGTTTTAACCAATAACTCAGATTTGGAGTGAGTATTTGGCGTAGACACTGATTTGTGATCTGTCCAACATTGTCTATCCATGTTGGACACAGATCTTGAACCGTCCATTGACAGATCAGACCTAGGACTAGTGATAGTCTTGGACTGAACACCATCACCCAAGTCAGAGCTTGTGTCTAACTTCCAGTCAGACCCAGTACAAGTGTCTGATCTCACACCAGTGTCTAATCTACCGTCAGACCCAGCACCACTACCGTGGAAGGACTGCTGAGAATGTACACCTCCTAATGTTGATCTGGATACACTCCTCATAGTCGGATATTTCTTCACCCCTTTTTGAAGAGATTCAGAATTCGATTCCATGACGGATATCTATACAAACACAACTTCACCAGAAAATTTTCCTTTTCATTGATCACCATTGATTGAAGCTTTATATAATTCTGTCAGGCAAAAGCACTCTTTCCGACAAAATTTAATCTCTAAATTAAATACACATATATATGTATTGATAAAACTTTCTATTTCCCTTGAATCTTAAACAGTAAAATCCCACTAAAACCGTTCCAAGTTAGTGTAGAACTATCATCCTTTCGCCAGAGCAACGTACATGTTTAGGCTTTCTAATACAAGTCTGATCATCTACAGCAACAAGTGATGCAAAAAATCAGCAAATTAACCAATCAGGTGCCAGTATCAAGTCATGTGATGCATGACTAAAGGGGCACTTGTACTCCCGAACATGAGGTAACTAAATGAAAACAAACGATCCTCTATGTGAAATTGACCGTGTATAGATTCTTCCATACCTAGACGGTTCGTAGGTTGGGTATCAATTACAATTCATGTTGGTATTTTAATTTTTTTGTGTTTGACAAGAAGTGACTGTTAGTTTTAAAGTGTGTGTATTGTTGAGCTAGGAAGTCTATTATGATATACAATGGAAGGTGAGGAACTTCCTGTATTTACAGCGGATTACTGATCAGTGAACTAGTCATCGTGTCTTACCTCCAGCATGGCATCCGCCCTCGTCTTCTCAATGGTGAGGGCGCGCAGCTCACGCTCCAAGTCCCGAGCCTTGGCCATGTATTCCTGTAACACAAAATAAAATGTTTTATTGTATTAATGACGAAAATTAACAGGTTTGGAAAAATGTTAAAAACTAAATCATGAATAATGTATACACATATTTAATGTAAAAATCAAAACAAGCAACACTAACAATTTTAATTGATTATTGAAAGCAGTTTGGTATTTTTGTTTAGTTTTTTGGTTTCAGTATACTATATTTAATTGTAATTTGCTTCAGTTTTTAGTCTTATCTTTTTGCTGAAAAAAATGTCAACATTTTGTAAATCATCAATATAACAAGTTGAAATATTCAATGAAGTAATCGCAATAACATACAAACAGATAGCATTACAGAAGGATCCTTTATACTCTAGCAATCTTAGTATTTTGTTTATAACTAGTGATTTCACCCCTCACTCTTTATAAGCCATGTATCTCTTTCATTATTAAAATATCATCACTAATTATTATTGTGTAAAAATCACTTAGGTCTAAATGAACAACTAGCTCACTTACCGGTCAGCAAAGGCATTGTCATGTGACTGACCATACATATCATCTAACTTACTCTCGTCTTTGACCATTAACAATGACTTGACCATTAGGGGACCTAACTGAGAATGTTACGTGACAATATTTGCTGTGTAATTATGATACACAGCTTAACAAAGAAACATGGATAAACTAAGTGACAACACTATTCTCCCTCTACAATTTAAGACAGAAGAGGACTTAATTTAAATAAAACATAATTTCTTATTATATTTTAATCGAATGAACAGAAACATAGCATAACACCCAATTCTCCTATCAAAAGTAATACATGGTTTTTTAAACATTCTTTATTTGATTCAGTCATGCTATTTCATTTTTTTTTTCTTTGTTTCAGTGATAATGAAAACAGAAATAAATATGATCATCAGGGGGAGGAAATTGTTATTTCTATATCAGTAAAACAGCTTGGCCAATATCTTTATACATATATGCATAAGGAAGGAATTCTGAGTTAGAAATAAGCTAAGCTTGATATAAAAACAGACAGTAAGCTGAATACCATCAAGGGAGATAATCCCTATTGTTTTGATGTTTTAAATACATAGATTTAAATATTGGTACACAAACTTCTCGTGAGACATGTATTGGTACAGGAATGCTAGTAACACACCTGTGTGTTTACCTGTGCTATACCCTGTACAGTCTTACGTATATTGGCGGTATACCTGTCTGAACTTGAGGGGGTGGTCCTACCTATAACAAGGCTATGTCACGCCTGACTGGGCAGGATTCAATACAATCTGATTAAGCCGTAATATGCCCGATTGTCATTTAACAATATGTAGACACATCTCCATAATTCCAGATCAGCACACCTAATGCTTTACCACTTATTGAGTGTGAAATACCTGTGTGATCCAGCCCAATAAGTTAGCCAACTCAGGGCAGGGAGACACACTTTCACATAGCAATGTGATCATGATTGTAAGGTAGCTATAATTTAAGGGCCTTTTGATCAGAACTGCAGGCAGCAGGCCAAAATGACTGGTTCAGTTCCGACTTTGGCCTGTTCAAATCACCTTTTTCTTATAACTCTCATATATAATTTTATAAAAGTTGACTGCTTAAAAATGTCATTTGGTCTATTCAAATAGAAGTTACTGAAAAGCCTAGAGATTGGTCTTATGATTGGTAATAGGAAAGGCCCGTCTACAACCGTTCAACATCAAGAGATATCTGTATATAAGGATCAAACAGCATTTTTCAATTTATGCTGAAAAAATATTTTGTTTTTATTGACCTAAATAAAGGCGTTCCCTTATATTTTCGATATTGAAGTGTCTGTGTCGCCAATGCAAACAAGATTCATGGAACAGCCAAACATCACCAAAGTGTTTGATTCTAACGGTTGTCTTGTGTTAATTGAGGCGGTAGAAGCTTCAAAATGAAGCTGATCTAGCTCTATGAACACAATTTCTCCTGGCAATGCTATAGAGGAACTTGCATGTGGACATGTAAACATGACAGTAGGATATGGTTTATCCACAACAGATCCACAATGACACATCAATGAATGTTTTTATCCACAACAGATCCACATCAAAGGATGTTGTTAAACAATCTATCATGTGTGTTGAGTAACCTTAACTATACATTAGGATTGTTTTGCACAAGTAAGATAATGATCAAAATATAATTAGAAAGTAATGTTTACAATGATGTTGGACACACCAATGACAAAGACTTATTCCATTTCATTGACCATTTCCCTGTACAAAGGTAATACATAGAATACTGGGGACTGTATGGCATAGTTGGTAGTGTGCCAGCCTATTGACTTCAAGGTCTTAGGTTGGAATCTAGCAAATAGAGGGACAGTGATATAAACTCATGTCAGATATTACAGGAAGTCCAGTTAGGTGTCGGTAGAGGCAGGTGTTAGTAAAGGCAGGTGTCAGTCGAGTCTGGTGTCAGTATAGTGAGGTGTCCATAAAGCCAAGCATCTGTAGATTCTGGTCTATCCAGAGAGATCAATGTATCTGGCCCACCATTTTAGCTCTAACACACAGCCATCTGAGCCAGGAGATGTCTGGAGATCAGTGGTACTGAAAGTGTTACTTCTCAAATCACAGAAAACATGTACAACACTGTTACATGAATGAAGTATCTGTACACACCTTCAGAATATGAAACCAAAACAACAGTTGATTGTGTACCGGTGTACAATTACGGGTAGTTATTTAGGGTTGTCAATTCATGCATACAAAATAAACAACGTAAATCTGATAGCAAATCATTTTTAGACATCAAATTTCAAATTATACTCCCAACAATGTTTTCCTGTACACGTTAGGGTAAGTCTGTAAGGCATCAAAGGCCTTTAAGGTAACAGTGACGGTCAGCAGAGAGTAGGCTCTTATTGAGTAACTCAATTCACTGTAAATAACAGGCTGATTGGTGACAAAGTTCACCAGCTAATTGGGTCATTTTCTTTTCAGTTATTATCCATTTACAGAAAAGGTGACTGTCATATCGTGTAGAAACAGGATTTTTTGCTTAATTATTACACCTAATTAATTCTAAATTATCTAGAAAAGCTGGAATAAAAAAATATAATTGACCGAGTATTAAATCAAATCATATACATGTATCAACATAAAATTCTATAGATAAAAAAACAAAAGTAATTTTCAACAAGCATTCAGTTTAAATTACAACAAAGAAACAGATGATGTACTGCAATTATCTCCCCTTCATGTTGTGATCCTACCTGTGTTAACTTCTTATTGGATTAGGATATGTAGACAACCCACTATATAGAAATTAACACTACCCACTCCTGTACAATAATACAGACAAACACATGTTTGAATTTTGCCAGTAAACAACCAAAGGTTTAATGGTTGACAAAAGATTGTGTGGTGAAATTAATATTTTAAATTTTTGTGTAAACTTTAGCCCCTCCCCAGATGGACTTTTCATCCATGCACAGAATTTGATTGTAGTACATCCAAGTCTGAATTTTCCCTTTGGTGCCCCGCCCTAGCCCCTGGGTATGGGGCAGAATCCCAATTTTATAATGTAATATCCTCTTCCACCAAAGATGTTACCTACCAAGTTTGGTGGAAACCCATTTATTGGTTCTTGAGAAGAAGTCAAAAATATAAAAAAAATTACGCACGACAGATGACGGACAGAAAGCGATCGGAATAGGTCACTTAAGCAAAGCTCAGGTGACCTAAAAACAGATAGTATAGCAGATATCTCTAATTGATTGGCACTTAATTAACCTCTGACCTAGAGGTGAAGGTCATGGTGAACCAATTATTGTGCAGTGCACACTTGTGAGTGATGCAGTTTCATCAAGCAAGTTACAAAAATGTTTGCACTTATTTGACCTTTGACCCAGAAGTGAAAGTCAGTTACCTTATAAACAGTGCACTACATAGTACCATCTAGTATGGTGAATGTACTAACTTCAAAGTTTCACTGAAATATTTTGATGGACAAGAAGTATAAGTCAGAATTGTAATAACATGGGTATCTACGGGATATCTAAACTGATGTCAACATAATCACCGGAATTCCCAGGAAGTCCACTGTACCCAGGCACCTTTATATATCCCCAGTCTTTATCTAGGGATGATTTAGGATTGTGTTGTCAATATTAACAGTAGGGTTCCAGCACCGCCAATACTGGGTTTCTTACTCTCCAATAGGACCTTCGTAGGGGCTGGCTTATTCCGTGACAGGTCCAATCCTCTGCTCTTATAGGGGCTTTGGATGTTACGAGTCTTGTGACACAACATCGATCAATATACAACCTCAGACAATCTGTTATTACATCTACATCATAACTGGTTCTTACTTTGCAGCTGAAATATGACACGTAATGAAAATAAAACTTACATTCACTGTCGTCTATTTTTCAAATCCAGTAATGGTAGTTTAACATATGTGTCTTAATACTATCTATACAAAAAACATGTTTATCTTAGCTGGGCTTCCAATACCAGTTCAAAGTTAGAACAGCTTAATTTGTAATTTAATGTGTTTTACACTGTGAAGACAGAACACCTTCTGAATTGCCACTGCCTGATCAGCTCCAGCACATAAATACAGTATACAAATCATGCTGTCTTTTGTTTGGTTGGGTGTCTTCATTTCTTGTTTAATAAGATATTCTGAACAAATTTTTATGAAACAGTATCTGTTTTTTTCCCAACTGGTCATCTCTTTCACACATAGGAGTCTCAACAACGACTGTAACGTTCTGTACTACACAGTGTAGGGAGATCATCGTCCATTATACCATAACGTAGTACTGTATTATACCTACAACATACCATTACATACCAATTGATAAATGAAGGCCTGATCAAATATCCAACCCAACTGATAAGGACAATCTTATTTTAGCACATCCATTGTACTGGGGCGTCCCTCACAAATCCTGGTTATTGGATACTGCCCTTTGACTAACTGTTGTAGCGTAGGGTCTGACAGGGTGACATGTTATTACAGGC